CCCTCTGGGAGGGCTGCTTCCCGCATGGCCGCTGGCAGTGAACTGCCTTCCTGGCCTCAGCCCTGGGGTTTATATATGAGCCAGGCCCTGCCCCTTCTGGTCAGCTGACCGCCGGCAGGTGTGGGCCAACTAACTCATTCTGGCTGGCCCGGTAACCAGCACCTGGGGCTCCCCACTCACTGCTAGGGCTCTCTCCCTACCAGTTTCAACCCTTGAAGGAGCAGGGCACCTAAGTACTCTGCGACACACACACACACACACACACACACACACACATACACATATATTACAAAAAATTACTATTCCATATATTAAACTCTAACAAGGACACAGGAACAAATCTCTCTTCATCCTCCATTTCTCATGTGTTTTATTTGGCTCGCTTCAGAGGCCCCTGCCCACGCAGCGACCCAATATAATGTGCCCAGCTCTAGGGTGGAAATCTACCATGAAAAAAAGCATCAATATGTATTTGCTCACACAACTAACCTAGCAAAATGGCAGGTTTTCACCCCGTTTCTTAACGTGTCTGTCAGCAACACGTACCGTGTGCAAGTGCCCCTCGGCAGCAGACAGTGACGTACCAGACCCCGCCTGGGTCTCGCTGCTGCTGTAAGAAGGGTCGGCTGAAGGCCTTGATACACGTGCGAGTGGTTTATCTACATGTGGATTCAACTGCGTCCGATTTGAGTGCATCCTGATAGATACATTACAAAAAAGGACGTATCCCATATATTAGACTCTAGCATAGGAATGAACCACTCTTCATCTTCCATTTCTCACATGGCTTGTTTGGCTCCCTTCAGAGGCCCCAGAACCACACGATCCATAACTGATGCAATGAACTCACCGTGCAATAAGTTTCGCTGACCGCACATGCAAAGTGAAACTTCTTGAATTACAGCAGGAAGCAAGACGATGAGAACGAGGCAGAGAGAGCTGGCTTCACACCCGTTTCTGCCTTCATTTCCTTTCTGGGATTTCCCAGAGCCAAGAGCAGCTCGGTGCAGGGTGGCATGGAGAGGACAATCCGGGACAGCCTGCTAGAGGCCCTGGAGGACCTTGAGGAGCAGAAATTCAAGGAGTTCAAGTTCAAACTTGATGACATCCCGGTGAAGGACGACTGCAGGAATATCCCCCGGGGCCGGCTGGAGCAGGCAGACCGCCTGGACCTCACGAACATGCTGATCAGTTTTTATGGGCAGGACTATGCCATGGAGGTGACCATAGCTGTGCTGGAGGCCATCAACAGGAAGGATCTGGCCTTCAGACTCCGACGGTAGGTGAGAAATCCAGGTCGGGATGGAGAAAACCCGTGGGGGGAGAATCCAAAACTAGAGAGGGGCAAGGGGCATGGGTTAGGCTGAGGGTTAGGGTTGGGGTTGCTACCTGCTGCCACCCCTAGGATCAGTGCTGGGCGATCCCCTTTCTCCTCAACTCATCCTGGAGCCGTATTCTCCACCGACTTTCTGGGGCAACGGCAACCAGGCAGCTCCGTGCTCTCGGGGGCAGGCCTCGACTTCCTCCAGCTGCACCCAGCACAAAGGTCCTGGCACCCAACACGCCTTGAGGTCCCAGGGCCGCTTCCTCCATCGGTTGCCTGTTTTGCTCAGTGCCCTATTTCCCTTTTTTGAATTTTTAAATAATTTTTTTAAAAGCACAAAAGGAGGCAAAAAAAATTCTGTATAAACTCTAAAAAAGCAGAACAAACGAGGCACAGAAAATGGGCCTTTTTTTTTTTTAAAGCACAAAAGGAGGCAAAAAATATTCTGTTCACACTCTATAAAAGCAGAACAAACTAAGTGAGAAAGTAATCCATATCAACATTAAAACAGCACAAAAGGGGGCAAAAATAGTCCGTATAAACTCTAAAACACACAATAAATGAGGCACAGCAAGTAGTCCATATAATCATTTAAAAAGCACAAAAGGAAGCAAAACATAGTCCACATAAACTCTAAAAAGCACAACAGATGAAGCAAAGAAAATAGTCCATATAATCTTTTTTTTAAAGCACAAAAGGGAGCAAAAAAAATAGTCCATATGAACTCTAAAAAAAAAGCAGAACAATGAACTAGGTGAAAAAAACATCTGTTTAAAGCTTTAAGAAGCACAAGAAATGAGGCAGACTTATCTACTGCACAGTAATGTGATGCTGTCTACACGTACATATATTTACTGAGCAGTAGCTTGGTCTCCTGGGGCCCTTGTGCACATTATGCATTGCCTAGATACAGCTCACACAAGGGCGGCAAAAAATCTGGGTAGTAAATCCAGGTAGTAAATTAACTGCGCAGTAGTGCATGTGTAGAGACTGTCCAGGAGGAAATTGTCTCCCAGGACAGCCCCTACACTAGGGGGTCAGAGGGGATGGGGAACTTCCCCAGTCCTGGCACTACTCAGCTCCCAGCTCCCCCAGGAGCTGAGCTGGGAGCTGAGCGGTGCTGGGATGGGGTAGCTCTTTGCCACCCACCCCTCCCAGCGCTGCTCAGCCCCCAGCATTGCAAAAGAAAGGATGGCTTGACCAGTGGACTGTCGAGACCGTTAAAGAACAGAGAGGGTCATTCACACCAGTGGAGTGAGGAGAGATTAGCAGGAGTCAGAGAGATGGTAGTGGTGGTTGTGGGCTATCCCCAGCTACCTAAGCCCAGAGGAAGCTGCATTTCGGCACTAAGCAAGGCTGCTAACAAAGAGTCCCACCCCAGAAGCAGCTGCATCTCAATCCCTGGAAAGGCAGGATGGCCACATCCTTCTCAGGGATTATCCGGTGCTAATTTGCCCCCGGACCAAAATAGCATAACTGCACACTAATTGCAGTCTGCTCTCCCCCCTCTCCCACCACCCCCAGGGCAGCCTTTCATTGACCGCTTCCAGGCCCAGTGAATCCAGCAGATCATGGCGGTGGAAGGCATCCTGGGCCTGCTCTATGGAGAAGTCCTGACCACCAAGCAGTGAGTACAATACACGTCAGGATCAGATGCGCCCCCTGTACGAGCTGGTGCTGGGCTGGGACCGGCGGTGCAAAGTCTGCCTCTACAAGGTGCTGCGAGCAGGAACAAGTGTCTCATTTGGGAGCTGGAGAGGACCTAAAGAGAGGAAGTTGTATATATCAGTGGCACTGCCAGAGAAGGCCTGGACATGACCCACATCTCTCCTAATGAGCTGCCCCTGAACTTTGCTCCTCTTCTGGTTCTCTCTTGCTCCCCTCAGCTCTGGCCCTGCCTCATGTTGGTCGAGTTACCCTTGCTGAACCTCATGAGACCAAAATAGCCCTTATAGGGCGCCTGTACACACCACGGGTTTTAATCCTTATTAAATTCAGTAGGCTTATAACATTTAAACATGTTTATTTGGGAGCATCGGACCTGTGTTTACATGCGGTAGGTTTTTGCACGAATGAAGCTGGGTCCCTACCGGTGCCACAGGAGAGCAGGTTGGTCCAGCACTGCCCGCTCTAGAGCCCGGGCCCCCCACCCACTCCCTGCCTGGGCCCTGCCAGCAGGGAGCAAACCACACCAGGAAAAAAAAAAGCAGAAGCAATTCGAAAGTGAAAGAAATCAAAGGCCTGAGCTACAAGAAGGGTGCAGCACCATCTCGTGGACAAGAGGCTCCTTACGACTGTGAGTGCCTTTGTGTTCAATCCACGGACGTGACGCTTTACTTCCTGGCGAGCCAAAATAAACTACGGCTGAGGAGTTTTAGTTAATGCACCAGGAAGGCTTTTAAAGGGTCCAGAAATCCCTCTGGTGTAAACAGACACACAGGTGCAGGACAAGAAAGGGCAAAAAACGTGGTGTGTACAAGGGCCCCTCAACCCCCCCAAAAAGCACAGCAGGGTGCATCTACACACGCTGTTAATTTGAAGTAGGCCTCATTGAACTGGTCTCACATTGATCTAGTTGCCACACGTTGGTCTAGTTGTCCTTGTTGAACCTCATGAGATTCCTTTTGGCCCAATCCTCCAATGTGTTGAGGTTACTCCAAATCCTAGCCCTACCCTTCAGCGTATCTTCTACTCCCGCTATTTACTACCCCTGCTACTCCTAAACCCATCTCTTTTGGGCAGCTCAGCCCAGCAGGCCCCTCGTGCCCTCGCCCTAAGCTTCCCCCTGTCTCTAAGTGCAACGCTTTGGCTACATCCAAGTCTATGGGTCTAGCTCAGCAGCTTCCAACCTTTTCTTTCATTGGCGGGCCTCCGACCAAATTCCAGCTGGAGGTGTGGATGGCGACTACAAGCAGATCATTACTGATGATATGTCACGTCTTCTTCCGTGGACCCCTTAGACATAGTTTGCTGACCCAGGATTCATGCACCGCAGGTGGGAAACCAGGCTAGATCATTGAGATGTGACGGCTGGAAGGGATCTCAAGCAATCAACTAGTCAACCGAGGATTGAACCTGCTTATTAGGGCCCAGCTGCTCAAAGCAAGTCCATTGGAGGCTGTCCTTGGCCATGGGGATGTTCCCCAATCGTCTGTGACATTCATCGTAGGCCTTAAAGGCTCCCGTGAAAGGATTCTTGTATGGTGACATCTTCCTCTTCAAGCTACACACAAAGGAAAGACGTCTATATGGACACCGTTATTGGCCGAAAGCTATTGTTGAGCTGTTGTTTGCCGTTCATGCCTGGTCAAGGCAAAAAAAGTCCAGCGCAGCAAACTGGATGTGCCGATATGTTCCCCGAGGAAGAAGAGCCATTGGGGTTATCCGAACCTGGAGAAGCGGGAGGGCATATCATTGAGGTTGTGGCCTCTGGCACTAAGCCTGGAATAGGTGCACCTTGATGGGGAGGCATAATTATGGCCGAGGGTGGGAGGAAATGGGGGGGAGCAATAAACATGGCTGCTACCACACCTTGTACCCCAAACCCTCGCATTCGGGAACCAGTGGGTCAAGAGAGTGAAAGCTGCAGAGGCAGGAGTCTGTACTCATCCTGGGTTACTCAGCAGAGAGGGCACACTCTTATACTAAGGGCCCTGGTACATGGTGCATATATTACCAACTGAGGGGTGAATCACGCAATAACTTGAGGCCAGCCACATGTGCAAAGCAATTGTCGTGCAATGAATGAGTGATTTGCACGATAAATTTAAGCTGGCCATGCGCACAAAGTAATTATCACACATTGAACAGGTGATTCACGCAATACATTGAGGCCGGCCGCACGTACAAAGTAATCACTGCATAGTGAATGGGCGAATCACGCAATAAATTGAAACTTGCCACACATGCAAATTAGTTATCACACAGAGAATAGGGGAATTGCCCCATAAACTGAGCTTGGCCACACATGAAAATTATCACACCGTGAGCGGGCAAATCGCACAATAAATTGACACCAGCCATGTATGCAAAGTAATTATCACACAACAAATGAGTGAATCACACAATAAATTGAGACCGGCTGGGCGTGTAAAGCAATGATTGCACAGTGAATGGCTGAATCTCATAATTGATTGAGACCAGACACACGTGCAGAGTAATTATTGCATAGTGAACAGGCAAACTGCAATAAATTGAGACTGGCCTGGCATGCAGAGTAATTATCATCACACAGCGAACAGGTGAATCATGTAATAAATTGAGACTGGCCACATGTGCCAAGTAATCATTGCATAGTGAACGGGCAAATCGTGCAATAAACTGAGACTGGACAAACATGCAAATAATGAGCACACAGCGACTGAATGAATGAAGGGCGCAATCAGTTGAGACCGGCCACACATGCAAAGTAATTATTGCATAGTGAACAAGTGAACCGTGCAATAAATCAACACGGGCTATGCCTGCAGAGCAATTATCACACAGCAAACGGGTGAATCACGCAAGAAGCTGAGGCTTGCCACAAGTGCAAAGTAATTATCACGCAGCAAACAGCCAAATGGCACAATAAATTGCACTTGGCTGTGCCTACAAAGTGATTATCACACAGTAAAAATGACTATCCAGCTTTGAAAAAATGAGCCAGCCAGCTCTAAAATCAGCTCTTGAGGAGGTGCAGCAACACTATAGCTGGTTTCTATGCTGCTTAAATTGGAATATGTCACAGGGCCCTTAAGTAATGCACTAATTACCTTCCTAACTCTTAGATTCATAGATTGTACGGGCTGGAAGGGAGCTTATGAGCTGCTCCTTGGGTTCACCGCGCTGAGCGTCGCTTTGCCTTGTTGCTCCTGGCAAAGCCATTGGGTGCCGATCTCCATGCCCACGGGGGCTTTGAGGGGTGCTGCCAGCACACCCCACCAAAATCCCTAGTCCCAATCCAGCAACCTGCAGAAGACCTCGAAGAAGGGGGGGCCGGGCCTCCTTCTGCAGGACCTGGGGGTGGACGTAGAAGTGTAGAGTGCGTCTACGCGTGCATTCGTGCGCATTACATCTAGCCCCAGTCAAATCATAGACTAGATCAGGAGGGCCCAGAGAAGCCCGGGTGTCCGGCCAGGCGGCAGAGAGGCAGCGGGGGCCAGGGAAAGGCACCTGGCAAAAAACACCTGCTGGAAATGCAAGTGTGTGTTGTACGGGGAATGCGGTAAGAAGAGTTTGGCGGGGTAGGGGGCCTGGAAATGTGAGGGCGGGTTATACGCGGGGAATAGGGTAAGAGGGGCTTTACCACATAGGGACCCAGGTGTCCAGGCCACACGCACATGCACAGAGGAAGACCCCAGGCGTCCAA